TCACTCCGTTCTTTCGCTATTTCGCCATTTCCCCCCACTATACAGCGCCCTACTAGCATTTTAGGCTAAGTAGGAAACCATCGTGCCAACTGCCTTCAAGGCTGCTGTATCCCGCCTGTTTTTCTAAACTTACAAATTAGTTAGCTATTCAGGCTAATGAAAATTTCGAAACTGTAATGAAAATGTAGAAACTGGTAAAAATCGAAAAAAGTAGAGACATGCCAAAGCTGACTTACACTGTCCGGGATACCCCGCAGGGTCTTATTGATCACCGTCATTCCGTAGACAAGAGTTTCTGGATCAGGTGAATCCTTCTCAGAGATCACCTTCATCAGTCCACTCCAATCTTGTTGCCCTGAAAAAAAAAAACTGAAATGAAATCCGAATTCTAAGCAGCACTCAATAAGTATACTCCATATCCCGGAGGAAGGGAGGGCGTGGCCGCGTACTTCGTTTGACATGGCGTGAAATGCGTCTCTCATGGATATTTCCATTTGAGTAGCTTTAATCTTGTCTCGAGTTGGACAAGGGCATGATTACACAATTGTTTCTAAAGCGGCAATATTACACCAAAAGGGCATCGGCGCCATGCTCAAATGAAGTACGCAGCCACGCCTTTTCCACTCCTTTGATATGGAGTGTACAGAAATGTAACAATGGCATGATGAGGGAACGCCACATGCATTTTCCAGGGGTCGAGTCCACTTCTTATCAAATGATGCCCTGCATAAAACCCCATGCTGAAAACAACTTGCACGTGCATAAAACGATGAAAGTTCTTTTGCTGGTAACAGCTCTCACCCCTAATCACCCTACTCTCAGCATTTGGAATGGAGAGCTTGTAGCGGAACAACTGAACCGCTACAACGCGCCTTTAGAAGTGAAAGTTGGGTGTTGGGTTGGGCAATGGGTGGGGCGTTGCCTTCGTCGGGAGCTGATTTTTGAGCTGCCAAAGTAGTATGTCCCTCATGCTTGCGGACAGAACTACGAATCTTCTTGACGGATGAATTTGCGAAATACGACCCCGATCCCCTCCCCCTCCCCCGTTCCCAACCCCTATGTTCCCAGTTACCTGCTTCTTTTTCACCAGGTTTCTAAGAAACTCCCCAGTTTTCCCCCAGATACTGCCGACTCATCAAAATGAGACCTGCTACTTAACGTGAACTAACAAGCAACTAGCAAAAGCGCAAAATGCCCCTCCCAAGCCGAACATTGGCCAAAAATGTGCTACAAACGAACCTTTGTTTCGATCGACAGCTGAGATTGCAGCCAACACGAGTAAGGCGTTGTTATCGTTGTATTCAATGAAGACCAGAAGAAGCTTCAATGCAGTTTTTACGACGAGTCGAAACTGAAAATGAATTTTAAAGTGGTACGATTTCTAGGAACAAGAGCCTGGTGACACATTTGAGAGAAGTGTTAGGGGGAACAGAGAACGATAAGAGTCCATAAAACAAAAAAATCGCGGTTGTCAACGTGGCTTGGAGGGGCCA